TGACATTATGATGATATCAGTCACCATTTATATTGTCGAATTTTAAATCTTTATTCATTAGATTATATCTAAGAGACGATATCATCCCCATTCACATTGTCAGATTTTAAATCATTATCCTCTCTATGTGTTCCCCCATTGTTAATATAGACAAGCTTGCTTGCTTTGTTGGAACAGGAGTGCCACACCAACAATGACAAGGGGAAAGCAATTCACTAAATAGATAGAAATAGGTTATGGCGTAACAAGTAGGTCGAATTACTATGGGAAAGCGTGCTCTTAACTTGACGTCCGTCCACAAGGATGAAAGGCCTTTCTCTAGAACAAAGACAACCCCTATACACACACCTAGTTTGGAAAGTCAAGAAGCTGGATGCCCTAATACACGAGGAAACTTGCAATGGAGACTAGGAAACTTGCACCATATTGTTGCCGAGTAGATATTTTTTGAGCAAAATATGCTAGGATGGAACGTTGAGTACCAAATAAGGTGCACAACATCAATTGTGAACAGCATTGAGTTCAGCCCGTGTAGGTTTGTGTTGGGATTTAAAACCATGATGAACTTGCTTCCTTTCTAAAACATTTCAGGAAAAACAAGAGAAAAGAAAGATACATTCCAAGAGTGCCTACTGCTTTATATTATATAATGCATAGATATATCTTGAATCTCCTCTAAAAATTAAATGAAGTTGTAAAGTTGCACTTAAATCTATCCACCATTACATCTGCCAAGTACTGAGAGCATAAGCTCCACAACTTCTGCTTTCTCATCCATTCACATAGCAATAGCTAACTATACAACCATTGCAACCTCGCCCTCGCTGCCATTAATGGAACCATTGCAACCTCGCCCTCGCTACCATTAATGGAGGAGCTAGCAAGTGAATACAATTTCCAAACATGTAGTATGGTGGTTAAGACCCAGAAAACGAAGCACAAGGCTTTAGAAACTGCAATGATATTTGAAGCCACTACGTTATTTGGATCTTCCCTGACATTCCACAAAAGTGATACCAGCACTAAAACAACAGCCAACCCAGATATGATTGAGAAGCTGATCACTGAAATGCGACGTCTCTTCCCGTCCTCCAAACAAGCAGGTGTGTAAAAATTTGTCAAGGGTTTCACCATCTTAGTGCCGCTACAAAAGTTTATGATGTATTGACAGAAGATATAACAACACCAAGTAGGCATAATTGACACGGCCGCGATCACCATCATTTTAATAAGTGCAAAGCATGCAACATAATCATCAGTTACATATATATATTATATCTATCACAGCATGGACAAATACAGGCACCAAAAAAACAAGCTGCATTGTCGCATGTATGCTGAAATACATTGATGCCGCGCAGATCTCCCAACTTGTAAAGGACCTTCTCTCCCGTTTATCATCACCCATACCTGCCCAAAGGACCAAGAAATAATAATAATAATATTAATAATAACTAATTACTACAAAAACGACAATGATCAAAAAGTATAATTATGTGGGCATGAGAGCCCCCATCCGGATGAAGAGAAATTAATACTATTGAAAAAAGGATTAAAAAAAAAAAAACTAATTTCAGCAATAAAAATTGTATGTATACATAAATCTCTTTCTCAATAATATATTGACATATATGTACATATACTATATAGAATTTACCAAGAGCTACCTATAATTCTATGATTCTATTAGACAATTAATTGCACTGGATGTCTAAAGAAATAATATTTTCTAAAAATTATATACTTTTCCAAAAGAATATTTTCTTTAAATATTAATTTCCTAAAGCATACAAGTTTCCTTAAAAATACAAATTCTTTAAAATATGAGTTTCTTATAAGTTACTTTTTAAAATACAAGTTTCATTTAAAATAAAATTTTGTTTTAATATAAATAACAAATATATACTTTAAACTATAACTTTTCTTAGAAATATATTGTTATATAAACCTATGTCCAGGGCCGGCCCTGAGATTCCAAATATTTTGAGAGGCCCTAGACGGACTTTCAAATGTGAGGCCCTTAAGTTTCATACACGCAAAAAAAAAATTATAAGAGTGAGAAATTTTAACACGATGTTTTCAGATTCTATAGCTAATATAATTGTGCACTTGTGCATTGTGCAAAAAACAACTAACTAATAACTATAAATTTATCACTACCAACAAATAATTGTGCGCCTATACAGCGTGCATAAGACAGCTAACTAATAAGTATAAATCTATCTCTTCGAATAAATAATTGTGCGTATGTGCCGTGTGCTTAAGACAATTAACTATTAACTATAAATTTTTATCACCACCAATAAATAATTGTGGGCATGTGCAGTTCGCACAAGACAACTAACTAATAATTATAAATTTATCATTACCAATAAATAATTGTGCGCATGTGCAGTTTCTTTTACATTCATTGTTTATATAGCTACTAAAATTTGATGATTACATATGACAAAAATATTTGGAGATGAGGTGACTATATATATATATATAGGAGGCTGAACTTGTAGTACTGAAGAATTAGTGGGATTTTTAGGTTATATGTGGCATCCACTATCATATATAGTTTTGTCTTTCACTCTTTATATTAACTACACTACACTTTTTGTGTGCTTTTTGGGAGTCAATTACCCCTTTCTTGATTTCAGGATGAGGAATCAACTTTAGTAGCAGTGGTTGATTGATCATTGCTACAGAAAACATGTGCAACTTAATAGAAAAACCATTAACTTTTGTTTTGTTAAAGCCTGCTCTTGATTTCCATGTGTTTGTACATTCTGATGGCAAGTGCTTTGACAGTCTTATTAACTGAAATTCTAGCTGCCAACTTCAAATAACATCAATAATGGTGGTATGTATCTTCATATAAAAATAAAATATATAAAAAAAAACCCTTAATTTGGCACTTTTATGTATGAGCATAATTTAGAGATCGAAAAAGTTAATTATTACCTCAACGGCTCAACCCACTAGAAGGGATCCTTAATTTTCGTAGGACTGAATGTGAAAATGCAAAAAATTATGAGGAAAAGGGGTATGGTTGCTGCTGTTGTGAGATTGGAGTGGAATTAGGGAGAGTAAAAAAAAAAAAAAAAAGTACCCACCATAGATTATGGACTCGATCGCCATGAAAGACACATGCAGAAAGGCACACATACTAAGAGAACCATAATATATTCATTCAGCTTTTGATAGCCATCACACACAGTGACACACACACACACACACAAAAAACCCTAGCTACTTTTCAATATTGGAACAAAGGTAAAGGCCCGAATCAAACGAACCAAAGTTAGAACAAATCAAATGATGAGATGAACGAAAGAAAGAAACATATATAAAAGATCGATTCATGCAAAGGGAGAGAGAGGATGAACATACCTAGACAACTGAGGCGATAGCCCTGCGGAGTGTCGAAGCAGATTGTGTCGTCTGGAACTTGCCCTAACTTTTTTTTTTATTTTTATTTTTTTCTATCCCCTACGGGCCTCAGAATTTGAGGCCTCTAAATTTGAGGCCCAAGGCGACCAAGACTTGTCCTAAACTTAATTTCCTTTTTTCCATCCCTTATGAGCCTCAAAATTTGAGGTTGAGGCCCAGCCTTGGTCGCATTGGCCGGCCCTGCCTATGCCACTCCAAAATAAGTGTATACTCTCAGACGGAAAAAATTCGGGCAAGTATTATAAATCAGTCCCAATATTTAAAACAAAATTAGAATGGGGTGTCCAATTACTTTTTACCAAATTCCATTCTCCTTCAAATACATTCAAAAATATATATATATAGTTACTAAAAATAAAAAATTTATAAAAATTAAAATAAAAAGTTAATAGCAAACCAACCAAAAAAAAAAAAAACCTAGGAAAAAAAAAGAGTTTGGCTCAGGTGATGTTAAAGTCTTGTGCTTGTTTATTATAAAAAGATATGATAAAAACATAGACATTAATAAAATAAAATAAAATAAAATAATTTTAAAAAAAATGTGTTGCTTGAGTTTGTTTCAAGACGAAGAGTAACTAGATCAAAATTAATTTTGATAGAAATTCTAAGTTCACAAAAAGATATTTTAGAAAAAAAAAAAAAAAAAAAAAAAAAAAAAAAAAAAAAAAAAAAAGAAGAGTATAGAAAGATAGACTATGGCAACACACAAAGAATTTCCATAGCCCTCAAAGCCCATTATTTCATTTTTGCCAAATCCCCAACATCTCGATCAAACTTTCCCACCAAAAACCTTTCATAACCCCTTAGTGAAAACAACATCTAGACAACTCCATGCTTAGGAAGACTTGGTATCGTTGCCAACTCAACAAACTATAGTTGGCTAGATCCCTCAAACCGACAAGATTGAGCCCTGAAAAGGTCACCAGAGTAGACGACTCCGATGAGTCCTTTCTCTCCTCACGCTCATACCAGAACACTAGGGGCGGCTCAATTTAAATTGAGGCCTTAGGCAAAAATAAAAAAGTGGTGTATAAGTATAATCTTCTAATTCTTTTAAATTGTTTGATTGTTTTTCATTTTAAATCAAGAAATTTGAATGTATTCAGAGTTTTTTTTAGGGTTTGAGATAAATACGAGCTTTTTCGATACTTTAGATGATGATGACCGATAGAAGGATTTTAAGGGTTTGGAAGGTTTGTGGTGATAAACAAGAAAAAGGGTTTGCAAGATTTGTGGTGATGAATATCTCGAGGGTTTGAAGAGACAGCCGCATATATTTACACAAGGGCATATCAAGGTGTTAGGATTGATGGGCTCAAGCCCATCCCAAAACCAAAAAAAAAATACTAAACTATATATATTACTACCTTAGATAATATACACAAACAAAATGTATGTACGAACGAACAATTGAAGTTGAAGGTTGAATTAGGTGGTAATTTTCCTCTCGTTCCGTAGAGGTTTTCTCTCTTTCTTTCCTGTGAGAGTTCCTTTCCTCTTTTCTGCTAGTTGAGGCTTGTTTTCTGATTGTTCTTTTTGTCTCCTTGTTTCTTTCTCTATTTATGGATGACCGACTACTTCATCAGGTGGGAGGATTTACTCTCACTGAAGATGAAGACATCACCATTAATATTACTGACGATGACCTTACAAAAGGCATTAAATGGTGCAAGAAAAGCCTTGTAGGAAAATTGTTGAAAGAGACCGGCGTTAATGTGGGGGGTCTGCGAGACACCCTTGGAAAATTATGGGTTTATTCGTCTCTTAAAGTCCTGAAACTCTCAGAAAATATCTACCAATTCTTATTTCAAGAAGAGACAGTCTTACAACAGGTTCTTCTTACAGGGCCATGGCATTTCAACAATCGCCTTCTTATCCTAATTCAATGGCGCCCAAACCTAGTCATTTCAGATGATCTATTCAGAATGGTGGACTTTTGGGTCCATCCATCCAACCTCCTTTTGGAAGGCATAAACGAGTGTGTTAGCAGAAAGATCGCTGCCTCTTTCCTCCATACCTATGCAGTGGAGATCAGAGAGAATGTGAAAGATGGAGGACGGTTCTTACGGCTCCGGGTCACGGTGGATTTCACAAGACCTCTGCGACGAGGTCTCCGGATGAATTTTAATGGCGAACCCAGGTGGATTTCGTTCCAATACGAGAGATTATCCACTTTTGCTATCTATGTGGTTGCTTAGGGCATACAGTGAAGCAATGCAACCTGCCAGTAACCAATAATCTCCCCTTTGGACCATATCTAAGGTATGACGGTCCTTCTGGTATACAGGTACCTCTGGAAGATCATCAATCCCCTCCTTCTCAGCTTCTGATCTTGAGTTGAGCTGCCCAGCCATCAGCAGCTGCAAGAGCACTGGTGCACAGTCTTCATCCTTTCATGACGTCAGCCATGACGAAGGTTCTCCTTTACCCTTTGTCTTTCAGCCATCTACGTCGGTCTCTCCTGTCATATCAACCGTCCACTTACCACCCAAAGTTCTTTCACCTGAATACGCTTCCTCGAGTCGTGATCCAGTTTCTCCTTTGACGGTTCTTGACCGTGGAAAATGGGCTAATGTTGAGGCCCCGTTTCCAGTCGTGCCTCAGTGGGCTTCTCAACAGTTTATATTTGTAAACGAGTCGAATTTGAATCAAATTCAATTCAAATTCCATAAGACTGTGATCCAATCACAAAATATAAAATTGCTCATTGTATATATCATTACTTATTAATATTTGGGCTTGGTTTGGATAACGAAATATAAGCCCAACTCAGTTAAAAATTAAAATCCATCCATTTTGTATTATTTCGTATCAACAAACCATATGATATCTTCTTCAACAGCACCAACCAAATGAGGCAGCAAAAATACACCAACCGACAAATACATCTACAAAGTGTTAACGCCACATACATCTCCCAATTGTTATAGGTCTTGCTCTTCCCGCCTTTTTCATTATCAAAATCCATACCTCTGTTCAATACATATTGGACAAACATCATTGATGAGTATTGAAATTAATAAATGAATTTTAATCTTATTGAACTAATAGATTACTATTATTATCATAAATATATATCCTATATTTACCAATTATTGACATGGTAAGACTAAGACGAGTGGGCATGAAAAGGAAAAAACCAATGATAGGCTAGGAGTTAAATTAATTAATTAATAATTATTATATATCATTGAAAAGAAAGAAACCCTAGTTTTCAGCAATACACTTGAAAAGAAAAAATCCGTAATTTTATATGAATACAGAATATATAAATCAAATAAGTATATACTACAGTAGTATTTACCACCTTAGGTACATAATATATAGTCATAAATGATTCCAAAAGTGATCAAATTAATTACCTGTAATTAATTATTTTATTGACTAAGAGTATTTTGGATCATAAAAACAATTAAATAGTATTTTTGTATAAATTTATAATTAGTTTCAAAATCTTAACAGTCAAACCTACTACTTTAAAAAAATTAGCATATTTGAAAATATGCAAAATTAACTTAGTAAGTATATAATGCAGTAATATTTACCAGAATAGGTACATAACACTCGATCTCTTGCACTGCACTACGTAATGACGAAGTTAATTGTGATTATTTATAGAGAGAGAAAGGATCACAGAGTGGAATCCAAATCTAATTTGGAAATTAATAGGATGGTAGTAGTATTTTACCTGATTCCTAGATCTTTCCCACTACTTTTTTTACCAATCACCAATTATTCAATGCCATGAGGGCCAGTAAAAGTAATAAGTCATTTCTTTTAATTTTGTACTCAAGCACTCTCAAGCATCATTTGGATGGAAGGATTTGGGGGATGAGGAAAGAACCGAAAAGAAAAGAAAAGAAAGGAAAGAATAAGGATTGTGATGGGAGGATTTGAGGAAAAAAGAAAAGATTTGGAGGGATAACTAACCCTCTAGATCCCTCATATTGCATTCTTTTAAAAAATGAAGAGATTTGAAAGGAAAGGAAAGTAGATTAGTGATACTCTTATAATATCAAAATTAGTCTTTAAAATTATAACATTGAACTACCTCCAAAATTATAGATGCAAGGTATGGTAGTAATTTGATTACTATCAATTTTTTTTTTTTCTTTTATCTCCTCTATCTTATCCAAACAAAAATAAACATTTTTTTTATTTTTTCTCCTATCTATCCAAATATGAATGTAAATTATTATTATTATTAATATTATTATTATTATTATTTTCTCTCATAACTAATTATCATTTTCTTTCTTTTCTCTCCTACATATCTAACCAAAGCATTGGCATTTTCTTTTCAGCAAATAAAATAACTATTTTACTTTTCATTTTATATAAAATATAATATAGTGTATTATTATAATTTAAGGACGCTATTGACCTTTTACATGCATTCAAAGTCGAGGTATGACTCAAGCTTGTGTAGTTTGCCAAAACTTCCAGCGAAGTCCAGGTAATTGACCCTTTTGTTTTTACATGTACTCTATTCAATTTGTAGATTAAGTATACATCGGGTCAACTCATTTTTAAAAAGGATAATAAAATAACATAAAAATTATTTTAAGTTCTAACTTGGCTTTTTATTTGGATGAATAAAAAATGAACGGATAAAAATACAATAGAAATTCGAATTAATTGTGCAAACCAAGTTGAAACTAGTTGGTCAAATCTGCTTGATCGCAACCCTTTTTTAAAAAAAATAAAAAAATAAAAAAAATTCTATACTTTGTCATGAAATTTGAAACTAGGAATTCAATAAGTTGGCATGGCTGCACCATTTATAGAAACCTGACCCATTTTATAAAGAGTTAATCAAAATAAATATTTTTATTTCGTAAGGTAAAGTATTGGTGGTACAAACGAAAGAAGAATATACAATCGGGCCGAAGCCCCAAAAAATGGCCAAATCCACAACATGGGCGAGCCCAAAGAATACATTCAAACAGGAGCAAAGCCCAATCACAAACGAATACAAATGGGACCATCCACCATATTAACTTTAAGAACACATCAACACACGCGGAGCTATTGAAGGGTTAACCTGGGTTATAGTCCAAGTTCAAAAAATAATAATAATAATAATAGCACTATTGTTTATCAGTTCACAGCCGATTCATATGTAATACTACTCTTCCTCTTAGCTTAGTCTACTTTACAATCCTGGCCAATGATATAAACCAATGCGATCTTCACGTTTAGCATCATCAATGAAATGAATGCATGATGGAGTCCACAACACCTAATCTTAAAACAAATATTAATGTTGGATCCGTTTGGTTAGTCGAAATTTGATGGTAAATAGTAAAAGGAAAAGAAAGTGAAGTGAATAAAAAGAAAATTTAGTTTCTATTTGGTTAGCATGAATATTTTTAAAGAAATTTGTAAGAAAATATTGTTTCATTAGTTTAAATAGTAGGAGAGTGAAAAGAAAATGATTTTATATACCAAAACTACCCTTACTAATTAAATATAAAGTGATATACATCGCATAATATATATATATATGTGTGTGTGTGTGTGTGTGTGTGTGTTAACTCCAAGACTAATTTTGACAATCACAAAACATTAATTGTGTTTTAAGGACTAACATTTGCCTTAAGAACATTTAACAGGCTAGTCTAAAAGTGAAGTGGAAAACAAGGAAAGGTAAAGCCAAAGCTAGATATATTCTATGCACTCTAAAGTCAAAAGAAAAACAAGTCATTCACTTCCAAACTTCAAAGGTGAAACATGGAGAAGATAAGTAATCAAGATTGGCAATTCAAATGGGGTAGATAAGTTTGGGGAATGCCACAGATTCAAATGTTAAAGTAATGTATGAATGTCTTGAAGCTCTCATATCTTAGGTTCTTTCATAAGTAGAATGGCATTATATACTGTCCAAAATTTATTTGAAAGCCTAGATACAGAAAAAGAAAAATGGAGGATCACATTCAAAGATTCATAACAGTGAGTTGGTTGTGGCCAAGAGACATTTCGGCCGACTGAACATGATGTTTTAGCCGACTGATAAAGGTTTTATATGCATCAGCCGACCGAAGAATACTCATCAGCCGACCGACAAGGAGCTTTCTTAAAGTCCCAAGAGCATTAACTTTTATTAATCGTTTCGGCCGACCGACGATTGGGGATCCGCTGGCTGACGAAAGGGTTTCAGCCGATCGATGATACTCCATCAATCGACCGATGCATAGTCAATTTCAAATCAAATGGCTACCTGCGAACTTGGATTATTGACACCTCATTTCTAACAGCTATATTGACCTCCAACAGCTATATTGACCTTCACTCTCTATAAATAGGAGTTGCAGCTTGTGTTACAACATACACCCATAGAAAGCAATTTGAAGAGCATTCAAGAACTCCATTCTAGAGCATTCAAGGCAATCATTTGATCACTCATTCCATACTAGAGATTTGTGTTTCATTTCATTTATATACTTACTCTAGTTGTGAGCCTACAATTGTAAATCTATCTTGAGAGATAGATCCAATCTTATATTTCATTTACATTCTTTATTACAAACTTGTAAGGGTTGGTGTGACCCAAAAGAAGCTTAGGAGAAGGGTGTTCTTCTAACAAGAAAGAGAAACAAGGGCTTGCTTCATGTGAAGGTTTGCTCTCCACCATAAAGGAAAAGTTCTAGTGGATTGGGAAGTCTCAAGAGGGATCCTGAGCCGAGGAGTAGGAGCTTCCGAACCTCGTTAAAATCTTCGTGTCATTGTTTGCAATTTCTTATCCCAATCTCTTTTACATTTATGCTTTGAATTATTATCTACTCTAATTGATTATTGCATAATTGTTTATCTCTAGTTGAAATTGCAAATTATTTTTTAAAAAAATTGGCCATTGACTCTATTCACCCCCCTCTAGAGTCAATTAGTGTCTAACAATTAGTATCAAAGTCTAATCTCTAGTTAAAGATCTAATCATCTTAGAGAACGATCATGGCCATTTTTCATCAAGAAGGTCAATCTAACAATAGACCTCCTTGGTTTCATGGAAATGATTATAACTATTGGAAAATCAAAATGAGAGCTTTTCTAAGAGGTCTAGACATCGATGCTTGGAAAGCCACCGAACAAGGTGATCATATTCCAACCAAAGTTGTTAATGATCAAAGAGTTTCAAAAACCGATGATAAGTGGACTCAAAATGAGCGTAGGCTTGTTAAATGTAATGTCATGGCTATCACAAATCTCTATTGTGCTCTAAACAAAGACGAATTCAATAGAGTTTCAGATTGTGAAACGGCTAAAGAGATTTGGGATAAAGTTGAAATTGCATATGTTGGCACTAGTTATGTTAAGGAATCTAAAATGAACATGATTGTCCATAAATATGAATTATTTACCATGAATAACAAGGAAACTATTAGTGAAATGTATTCTCAGTTTACTAACATTGTTAATCATTTGAAAACTCTTGGAAAGTCATATACATCATCCGAAAATATGAGAAAAATTCTTAGGTCTTTGCCTAAGAATTGGGAAGCTAAGAAGACCGCTATTCAAGAAGCCAAAAATCTCAACACACTTCCTATTGATGAGCTCATTGGTTCTTTGATGGCATATGAGCTAAAGATGAATAATGGAGATGACAACAAAGAAACTCACAAGAAAAATCTAGCTCTTCAAGCCACCACCAAAGAGGTTGAAGTTGAGAAAGCTCTCGATAATGAAGAAGATGAAGAAATTGCACTCATCACCAAAACCATGAGAAGAGT